ATGAAATCCAAATGTAAAGTTTGAAAATATGTTTTTATCATTCATTAATTTTATTCTAATTTGGATTGATATTCAAGAAAGTATCCACCAACTTTTACGGTAATTTTCAGGGATTTAATTTGTTGGTTATATCTCGTGCGATTTAAATATTCATATAAATAACTTTTGAATACCGCTTAGCAAATCACAAGATTTTTTTTAATTCCCGTTTCTCGATATGCCTCATTGTATAAAACTCGCTTCTGAATTTGGCTTTAAGTACTCAATTTAGTGATCTGCTATGTTGTTCACGGTGCCTTTGTTTTAATTCTGAACTTAAGGGAAATCAACATCCAAACGTACAAGGATATACCTGAGTGCCAGACCAGGATCACTTGCTAATCTTATTAGATCCTCGTCTCACTTTTTTTCTTTCAAGAGATTCTAAATTCTCTGACGGGTCGGTTGAACCTCAGGTTGAACCTAAGGCCACTGTATTGGAATGGAAATTATGTCCCGATCGCCGGAATAATGGAACCAAGGATTTATTTAAGGAATACCTACTACATAATTAGCATTCAAGACTCAGTATGAAATATACATAGCTAAAAATGAAGTTCATTCTCTGTAAGTCAAGAACTATCGTAAAATACAACTTATGAAATCTAATCTAAGACATTAACCCCGACGTCCCGTATGTAATAACCACCCATATCAATATTGTGTTCAAAAATTTAAAATAAGCGTATGCGATTATTTGCAAATAACATCCAATGGTTGGCATATGCTTTCTTGGGAAATATTATAGGCCTTTAGTTTATAAGGGAGAGAAATTATAAAAAAATATATAATCTGACGATAACAGATGATCATGGCAAAAATGTTTATTTCAGTAGAAAACTTGCAAATAATCCTTAAATTAGTCGACATCAGGAATCTCCGTGGTATGAGACCAAAGTAACTATGTAAGACAGGTAGGTAGATTTACATGTACTCTTATCTCCACTGTCAGTTGAAAATACATTTTTGCGCCCGTTCGGTATTTGAGTGGGCATTTTTAGCCAAAAGCAACGGCGAGAGAGGTGTTACTTAACGATAACCTGTGGCTAGAGGAGCTGAGCTTCGTTATTTACTGTAGTCTATCATATCAGAGATTACCTACTGGACGTATACTAGATCTTTAATACTACCAGCATCAATTATCTCATTTCAAGGTAAGGTTTCACAATATTTCTGTAAAATAATATTTCATTACTTCTGGTAAAGTGAGCTAAGTCGTGAGGTCAAACAAACAACCCCAATGATATTATTTTGGGACTATTTTGGTGATAATTGAAAAGTATATTTTGAAGGTATTCTATCTTATGCATTTGAATCGGGAAATGATACCTGCATGGTCTGGGTTGGATATTAAATGTGTGCATTAGATATTGGGATATTTGGGGTTTGTTTTCCTCGTGAATGGCTGAATGGCTGAACTGTTATGTATTTCCCCTTTTGACAACTGTGCTTAAGACAGTAAAGTGTAAGGTTTCTGTGTCTCTACAAAACTTGTATATTTATTCTTTAACAAGTATGGTTTTGTGTTTTTATTTGCTAATGTTTTTATAAAACTTTGGCAATCAATTGCTTGTATATTATTGTTAACTGAAGGAATACATTTATGTTTAATGGAAGAAATGAATAAAATGCAATGGCAAATTCTGCAATTGCACTTTGTAATAAGCTGTGACAAGGATCCTTCACGCATTCTTTAGTTTATGAAAGCAGTTGCAGAGGGAGCTGGTTTCGCATACACGGAATGAATCGTGTAGACCAACTCATTTTGTTTATTTCAGTGTGTTCGATGTGTTAATGATGCATAGTCCTGCGTTAAAATATTTCTATTGTTAAAGTCTCGCACTCTTTTATGCACAGTGTCCGGCGGTCGGCGTCTGTTACAAATGGCAGGTAGTGACATTTTGCATGTTCTTGTTTAATGAAAATATGATGTTCTTTCGCACTGTTCAAACATAAGGGGAATTAACCCCATAACGGCCGTTGGTGGCAACATGGACCATCGATATATTTCGAGCTCCATATCATACCCATATAATATTCCATCTATTTGAACAAGAATTAAATCAATCACTTGAATCAATGCGATTTTAGCTTCTTCAGTATGCTTGGTTTTTGTCTTGTTTTGATATTCTATTTAGGGTTTACGTCGAATTTGATAAGGATTAAATCAATGATATGTTTTGGTGTTGTCGTTGCTTTTGATGAAGATCAGGTAATGTTTCAAAGCGCATTTGAGATCTGTTTTCTTCATCCTAGATCTTGTGAATACACAATAACGTTTAGTTCCCGGGGCCTATATTTTAATCATCTGTTCTCAGTGTACTACATATGATGTAAATATTCTTGAATTCCCACTATTAGTTCTAGGATTAATTGATGTGTAACAACAATCAACGTAATACTCAGGTGGATTATCACTGGAAATACTTGAAGTAATTCAGAACAATATTCGGATATTACATAAGTGCAAAGTGAGAACAGCTGGATTACGCAACAGGATACACTGGCGGATTAGGGGGGGGGGGGCTGGGGGCCCGGGATAATTTCAATCTTTACCCCGATTTCACAAGTCTTGCTTTTAAATTTTTAGAGGCTCTTGCATTCTCATATGCCTTTCACGGATAGCCATGGTACTTTATAAATGGATCATAAAAAGAAATGAATCGCAAGGGATCAAAATCACGGCCTTCTATCGGTTCTTACCATTCCGATGGTATGATTTTACTTCTTTTATAACTTGAGAGAGCTTTTACATGTATCCAGTGGGGGAGGCATGGGGCCCCCTTGGGTGGCCCCAGAAACATTTTTAGGGCGGCCCAAAAATCTAGTAGGCCCTCAAAACAGGCCTTTTTAGGCATAACGTGGCCAAATTTTAAAAATGGGCCTTTAATGTCCAAAATCTGAGCCCAACTTTGGGGCCCAAAATTCTTTTCCTGCCTTGAAATGCCCTCCCCCTTGTTAACTTCTGGATCCGCCAGTATGTATCAGAAACAGGCGGGTAATCAGAAAGATGTGAGTACCAGAATGGGTTACCGATCCTTTACGTGCACGTGGAATGAAACATATGTTTAGATGACCAGAAAACCCATTCTGATACTCATCTCATTTTCCTGTTTCTTAAATTACAATTGTAGACATGCCTTCTTCTAGAAAAGAACTTGACGCTATGATCGCCCGGATGCAGAAATCAAACCCTCTCCGTATAGAACATATGTAATAAATCTATTATATTTTTAAGGCGGGGAGCAACGATTAAATCGAAACGTCGTATATCGATGATTTGATACTCTCCATAGGCGGACATGGGAAACCAAAAAACGGACATTACTGGGCATTCTTTTTTATTTTGAGCCTTTTGAAAAATGGACGCATTTCAAAATCGGAGCTTATCTTTTTAAAACGCCCACAATGCCAGCGTGATCTTTTTCAATTCACTCCCCGTCTTGATTTCTTGCAATTTTGTATTAAAGGCCCTTGTCATGATGCCAAATTAAACGGCTCAAGGTATTCCCCTATCGATAATTAGGGAGATATTTAGAAAGAAACATAGTTCGTTGGCACCCGCTCGGGAGTGTTAGGTCACGATGACTTAACAAAAAACTGTTCTGCATTCTATCTTATCTTTTTGTGATATGGAATGATGATATTCTCAATTTAACTCACGTTTGCAGCTTGTCCTATGGGTCATGTTAACGTTCAATCAAAATAGCATGTAATCGATGATATCATCCGGTCCCTCAAGTTATTATTTTCAAAGGTAAATTATGAGTAAAGCTGTTTGGGACTGTTCGCTGTGCAATCCCACCCCCTAAATGATGGTTTAAATTGGTCTGCCATCTTTTCCAAGACTCCATCCTGTGTCGAAATATTTTCACGTAAAATGACCACATGTTTGGTTGATAAATCAGGGGATTTACAAAAATTCAATGTACGACAACTAGTATTTGTTGCTCTAAGAAACTGGTTCCTTATACATTTTGACAGGTTTGATAGAAGTAGTTGTTCAGTCTAGCCAAACATACCCTGGTGCTAAATATGGCATATGGGGTATGTTACTATCTTCGTCCCTGACTGGCCATGGCTAAAGCAATAATTATCTCTTTTTCAAAGAGTGAAGATGAAGCTCTCTTTTTGCGACATCGAACTCTTTAAAAATAGTACGTGCAAGATATTAATCAATCGAACGATCGCTACAAGAGTAAGTGACTCAGTGTCATAATTACTGATTTCCAACTCTTATCTCATCCGCTATCATATGGTTATATGTCACAAGGGAAAACTTTCCATTTGGGAGCAAGGCATACTCACGAAATTATAATATCGCAACTTTCAATGCAAACCGTGAGTTATCGTTCTCATACTGAGACATTCCCAACAGGTTAAACGCTTAAATTCAAAGGATGCAGCTATTTTCCAAAAGGGAATTCATTCAAGAAAACATCCTAGATAATTAATAGGCTTTTCAGTTTTAGCATCTCCTTTTCATCAGAGAGCACAAACGTCAATATTTGAGCCCAATAAAATATCATTTGGGGAGTTGAACTGAGGATTCGGGTCATGGTTTAATGATTTTCATGTTGTTTGCCCTGAAACAATGATTGATTTTTAACTGCTTGATATTCAACGGAACAACATCAGCCATTCTTAGCAGAAGTAGCATAAACTATATTGGCGATATACGTGCGTGGTCAGAAAGTACGGTCCACCAAGTTGATGGTCATTCAGATAGCACACTTCGGACGGTGGACGGTGACGTTTTTCTTCTAAGTCCGAGAGAAAATGGGCAACATTTGACGTTTACAAAACAAAGATAATGTGAAAATCATAATTAAATTTAGACAATGTAGACTAGGCCCCCACCGATGATGAAGAAAGGCCATCACCCATGTCTAATAATAGAGGAGCTAAAGTCATAAGGCCAAAGTAAATAGAGAAGGCTCAACAGTCAAGTACTACAAGTATATACCTTTGCTTGTATTATCATTATTGGTTTTCTGTTCTTGACTGGAGACTTGGTAAACTCATCATTACCAAACTGGACCAAACTGCATCAGAATTGAACAGAGACTTGGATTATAGACTGAAACTTGAATGGTAAGTATATTGTAGGTACACTCTTAGACTATAGTCTATGGTCAGTGCCGGGGGTCAATGATTAGGCTTAATACCACATATTGATGGGGCTACCACATGTGGACATACAATATTCACGGAAGTTATTGTTGTTTTGATTTTTTGGTGGTTTCAATTGATCGTTTTATTATAATGATTGATTTGTAGCATTGTTTTGAAAAGTGATACGTTGTGATCAATCCGATTAAGCTATTAGCTGGCATATTAATTTAGGGAAGAGTGTACATCTCATGAGAAAAGTAATACTGCTGGTCTACTACAATATGATCATCAATGAATAATAACATATGAACTGCATTGTAGATTAATTACTACACTAGTATATATGATATAACACAATGTAATAGAAACCCGCTGTGTAGTTTTAATTCAATATAATATTCAGATGTCATGATGCCGGAAAAAAGCTACATTTACATATAGGAATTGTTAATCGTGATCAAAATATTATACAGAGCATACAACATACTTGGAATCATTAATACTAGCATAAAGATGCACGTTTTGCTGTTTTTCATCAACGCCGTTCCACTCATCCCTAATGTAAAAAAAACATAATGATATGATTAACAATGGATACAAAAAGCAGTAGTTAAAAAGCATGCAATTAACTATACAGCTGTTGGCCGAACAAGGAGTAGCAACGCACAAAGGTAAGTGATCTTTTAATGTAAGAATTCACGGTAAACATTTATTTACCAACGCGGCTGCTCAGTCTCAGTCTACACACGGTTGCGATAAATCATTGCACGGAGGAGATAGTCAATGCAGTTGAAGATGGAATCGTTTCAAGCTGATGTATTTCTTGTTGACGTGCATCAGACTGTGTGATACATAAAAGAATAAAAATACACCTCACTATATTTGTTAAGCTATAAGGTATAAACAAGACAACAACACAGGCTCGTAGCCAGAATTTGCCAAGGGGTTCACTTTCTAAAAATTCCAGGGGGTCACTTTTAACAACTTTGCCCCCAAAATGGCCAAATTAACTTGAAAAATTCTCAGAATGATAAACAAACTGCATGATTTTGAAAGATTTTTTGCCAGGCTGGTGGAGGGGGGGGGGCTCAAATGGCCCCCGGTTATTGGCCTTCATATATCTAAAATTATTTGCTTTTGGTTTATGTTGGTAAATCAGGAGTAATATACACTGGAACTGATGCAAATCAATCTACTAAGATGGCGTGACGGCATCCTTTGCATTCGTTCGATAGTCTTGCCACGAGACTGCGTACCTCTCCCCCCGTGTACTTCACCTTATTTTCAACATATTGTATGTTGTGTTGGTAAAGTTAAGTACATGGGGAACAAAAATGTCAAAAGTGAACCCCCTGGCTACGGGCCTGAGACTATCGTTCGACTTCGCTTCTTAAAAGAGAGCTTCGTCTATATATAGACTGCACGCAGGGTAGCGTGCCAGTGGTTTTTAAGAGTGACGACAAATTAAGTTATACCGATCACAAACGTTCGACTTCGTATCGTCTCTAAATCATCTTGGATTTCTATGGTATGATGTTTTAAAAAAATTGAACTGGGAAACGAGTATGGGTCTATATAGTAAAGTTAGAAAAAACTATAAACTACGTTTTAAAATCATCTGATAATATGGTCAAGGGATTATCAAGAGTATATTGAACAAGTACAATTGTACAAGTGGTCTCTAATTAAGTTACCACGTCTTGAACATTTAGTATTCATTGCATCAAGTCTCTTGGCCATCACCCATCTATTTATCTACAAATACCCCGAGCATGTCTTGTTCTAAACTAACGTGTTAACGAAGCTCTCTTTTAAGAAGGGAAGTCAAACGATATCAAAAGGGTGAATTCTCTGCCTTTGCATATGTTTGTGAGGAGGGGCATACAAGGACTTGATGAAAGACAATAATTGTAGACACATATCACTGCTTAATATTGCTGAGGTAATGATTTCACGGTCACACAAAATTGCAATGAATAAAACATGCAGTACCCGGTTTCTGTTATTTGGTAAATCGCGAAAACATGAATATACGCGAAAAGGAACAAAAGTAACAAATGTACAAATCCGCGAAAATTGCTCCCGCGAATTCAATGTGTTTTACAGTAATTAGGGATAACAATTTAGAATGAACAGACACATATTTTTATCACCTTTAACTAATGAAAGTAAAGAGTTCCTATTTACTATCAATCTTCCTGACCATACCAACCTTGACATTATCGTAGCACCCGGTCAGACGGCCTTGACATTACTGTCTAACAATCAATGTCAACATTAACCACGTGAGAGGCCAAAATGTGAAAATTCGCTGGGTTAACCCAACTAATTGTTATAACATGCGCATTCCCATACAAACGATCTGTCTTCCAGAGAAAACTAAGATTTGTGGACATGCTATGCTATCATTCCATCATACCCCAGTATGTCCTTTGTCAGTCAAAAAAGTTTGAATCAAAACTCCCCACGAAAATCAAAAGATCTCACCTGTTGAAGACGCCATCTATAGAAAATGTTAAAAAATGTCATTCTGATTTTGATAGATAGAGGCAGGTCAAAAAGGTCAATTTTTTTAAAGAAAATACACCTTAATCACATCAAAACATGTCTTAGAGTTGGTCCATACATACACTTTTTCATTCATGTACTTACCAAAATCCAACCTCTGGTGATGCTGATGTAATTACAATAATTGGACTATATTTTTGTTTTTGTAATGCCATCTATTCGTCGTCTTCCCACTCGGCGATAGGATCAATAGGTTGTGTGTCTCCGCTCCATCAACAAATCAGCCATAATGGCCGATTTAATTCAAGCAGATAACATAAGATGAGAACCTTGTAACACTTACTGAGAAAAGCTCTAATGTAATGGAAATTATCATGGAAAGGCAATGTTTATGGAAATTGGGTCCCATCGGGATGTATTTATCACTGAGTACGTTTGGCTGCCTGTAGAACTGGATACTCAGTCTATGTCCATGTGGCAGAGAGCAAACATCATTCATTCATGTTTTTTTATAAATCAGAAATCGTTTTTGTAATTAATTTTTTGTTCCTTTTCAATAATCATTGCTGAATAAAACATTTTTTACATACGCATTTTTTTATTTCTCTATTCAAACATGACAAGTAATAATGAAAACAGATTGGCTATTTTTCACACCAACTTTCTGAATAAAACATAGTGTTTTGTTAAGCCTCAGTCACATTTGCCTCATAAAATCTATATCGAAAATCTACATCGTACTGCCTATCCTATATTTTATGCCGTATATTCCTCTTGATTTTGGGAATTTACGGCTCTCATTATACGGTTGTCGTGGATCAAATGTGACTGAGGCATTAGCAACATGGGAAATCGTTATTAAAAGTTTTTATGTCCGTTACCATTTGAATGCAATGACGATCGGTGTCTTTCGAGACTATTTGAATAGGGTCAAAGCTAGCAAGTAACTTTTTCGAAAGACTCAACAGCAGAGTGTTTGTGGTTTATACTATATCTTGTCACTATATCCTGAGAGATTGTAGGGTTTATCTACAAAGAAGATCTCTTTATGAAAAAAAGTCAAACGAATGCATATAAATTTATCTCAAGTAATTGCTTTTCATAGTCTCCGTTGGTTAAAGGAATATTCCTTGCCAAACCATCTCTCTCTTCATATGTTAGCTATAACCATATATATGCTTGCCATGTTTAGCAAAACACGCAAAAATGTTTTGATGTGGTCAAATTTGATCACTTAGAAATGTGATGCTCAATTCCAGTAAGCTGCCATCTTTTAAAATTTCACACAGGAAGTGATGTCATCGACTCCCAACTTTGCATATAGCATTAGGCGAGGAGCTATTAAGAATTACAAAACCAGCTAAATATTCTTTTTCAACTTTGTATCTTATGTAATCCTTCTGAAAATCTCTTCTTTTATTCTAAGTTGACAAGCCCTGAAAATATTTTTGCACAGAAAGTAATGATCACTTGTCTAGAAGTGATTTTGTGCTACTTTCCTATTCTGTTATGGGCAAGGTTATAGAAGTTGAGAGTTGATGACATCACTTCCTGCAAGAAATCTTAAAAGATGGCAGCTCACTGGAAATAAGCACTAGATTTTTAAATGACCAATATTGACCATATTAAAACATTTTCCCATGTTTTGCTAAATATGGAAACTATATATGATTATAGCTACCATATCAAGAGAGAAAGGGTCTGGCAAGGAATATTCCTTTAACGTCCAGCACGAGCCATTAGTTGGTCAATGCGTGAAGGGTGCCAGCCATACTTTTTGAGCTTATTTAAACAAGGACGAAGTTTTTCTGGTGCATTGTCAATTAGAATTCAATTTGTATTTACATGATGAATCAAAAACCATTTAGGATCTTTATTCCTTTGTTTCCCTTCGTTTTAGCTTTTTGCAAAACAACGCAAGCCAGGAGAAAGGGAATAAAAACTTCCATGTCGATTTGTCACTGCAATAACGATGGGAATTACTGCGAGTAGATTGTCGTATTTACTAATTGCCGCGTTGCATGATTGATTTACGTTGGGCAATCACTTTTTTCTATTTGAACGTTCGTAACTCATGGTCTTTGAAAATGCCATTTTATCAAAGTAACACGATGAATGGCTCAACGATGTAGAAATGGAACAAGAACAATATTTCATTTTTAAAGGACCCTACTTAATGGCGGATCCAGAAGTTACCAAGGGGGTGGGGGGTATTTCGAGTCAGCCGAAAAAAATTTGGACCCTAAAACCCAAATTTGGGAAATTTAAGGCCCATTTGGATCTGCTCCTTAACGTTCACCAGGGCATTTGTTACTTTTGATTGAAATTACATCAAAGGTTTTTCCCCTTTTCTACCTTTAAAAGGTCCACCTCTCTGTGTCGTAGTTCTAAACGGCCGACACTGTATGTTTTTTAGTATTCCAATATCGTAATCTAGATAAATCTATGCATCAAAATATCTTCCTTTCTCTAATGACCAATTACTCTTAAAGTAATCACCTATCAGCTATATTTACAGAGACTAATCTCATATAAAACAAATACTAATCTCTGATTAGCATTCGTAATATTAATCAACCAATCTGTCTTCATTTTGGCAGCAGATTTTTACCAGCTCTGAAGAATTTTGATTCCGATTTTAATCAGGGCAATTTTGATTTTTTCAGAGGGGGGCTTTGTACACTATTTAGAACATCTCAACCCTCTCATATACCCTTTGCATTCGATCGACTTCGCTTCTTAAAAGAGAGCTTCAACTTCGTAGTTTATAAGTAGACTCTGAGCACCCACTCCCTCTATGACAACATGAAGAAGAATTAAAAACACGAATTAAAGAATAAACTGAGACACATATTATACAAAAACTACATTCAGAATATTGTTGAGATATAATGTTCTAATATTACGCATATTGTGGTAATATTAAAATGATTTTCTTGTGATACGTCTTTGGGTGTATTCTCAAGGCTAATGTTTAATTGTATCATGGCTAATTGAAAGCCCATGATTGTATATTTGTCGTTTTTATTATTCTAATACAAGATTTATTCATGGGATGAACGGATGTGCCTTGGTTTTCAATTTATCGTATGACCTGTAATATAAATCAATTAAGAATCGATGTTGTCTATTTTATTTCATGTGTTAGCAATAAAATATCAGCTTATCTCGCTCCAGGGGCACGTTTTATTTTCCAACTGAGAAGCATTCCGAGCAATCTGACAATCAGGTACTGAGGTTTTCAGGGGAAAGACTAAAGGGGAAACGTAGACAGAAGAGGCCTCGCGACAGGTTTCCATTGAATATAAGTGGCCATAAGTCACGTTCTCTTATCTCCTTCTTCCCTCGATGTGCAAGTCATACAACCGAATTTTGCCGATTCAATCTGACGGACAATGCCGAGCCTCTCGTTTTGACCAATTATAGACGTCCTCTTCACATTCGTGGTACCCTCGGCCAACTTCGTTTGCAAAGAAAATCTTCGGCAATCTCCGGCCTTTCTTGAGGTATCTTCGGTTGCAAGCCAGAAGTCGACACCCGTTGAGAAAAGGGACATTTCACCCAGCTTACATTGGTAAGTTGTGGTAAATGACCTCATCAGCTTTTACCATCGCATCGTCAAGTAAGATAACTCGCAGCACGAAATATAACTGTTTTCTCATTTAAAGGGGAAATTAACTTCCGGCACGTTGTTTCCCAGAACATATCGAGTGAAGATTTCTCATCTTGTTCCGGGCCATGCCAATAATTGATTAGATTTTTTAACCAATTTCTATTCTAGTTTACTCAGGTTGATTCCTTCCGGCAGGCTTTGTTGACTGAATATTTTCTGGAGATAAAAGATTTTAGGAATACGTACGTTACTCTTATTTCATGGATCATTTCGCTTAGATAATCGCATTTAGGGTGATTTCGCATAATTAAGCTTCAAGCTAATCTCTCTTGGTAATCATACTAGTTGATCTCAAGTAAAAATTCAATACTTTTCATGTCTTGTGAAAGCCGTCTTGGATAATGTGTTAAAACGTAAAAATCTTAATTTTGGTATTTCAAAGATAAAATAACAAAGGTTCTATTAAAAGATGACAGTTTAGAATGACGATATGATGAATTTGTTAAAATCACCTGACATAATCGTGATAAATGTTGAAATATAACAGTTACATAAAAAAAAAAATACACGCCGAGCCCTAGGCTTGCGCAATGCGCATGTGGCGCACTCGACGTAGGCCCTAATTACTAGCCGTTTAACGATTAACCTCCAAACCTTAACGATATTATTTTTGCTGTGTTCCGCACTTATATCTATTAATGCCAGGAGTTCACTTTTCTTTCACTGTGTTAATTGATTGTTAGTCTAGATTAACAGGTAACTTTGAGATAACTATAGCCAGGTACATCTGCCCTATCAGTGAAGACTGTTTATACTCAACTCAAGTAGGTGACTAAGACTGGTATTTACACCCTCAATATTTCACCCACAAATACTGCACAAGGCTTTACTAGTTTGTGGCAGAGCCCCAAAACGTCATTCTGATGCTCATCACATCTTTCCATCGTGGTATGTCATGCACGCCCTCTCCATCTCTATCCTTCTGGAGAGCATCTGTGATGCAACAGAGAGAGATGCTATGAGTATCAGAATGACACCTTTCTATCTTCAACCAGAAATATACTAGTGTGAAGCTAATAAAAGGCTATGATTTCTCATGATGCAAAACTTTATGTGTGGGGAAACTGAGTCTCATAAGAAAGTCGCATTGGGGTGGACCAATGGTGTGGCCTCGCATATCGACTACTTGACGGATACGTGTATATTTCCAAACAAGAGAAATCTCCAAGTTATTTTGAGGCGACATTGTATTCTCACGTATTTTAATTTCACTGATTTTTTTTAGTACGGTGGGAAGTTCATGATTCAAATCAATTGTTAATTGATCATCACATTTTATGATTGTATCATAAGCCATTCAATTTTCCAAATTGGTGTTGGTGAGGCACAGCGCCTGTATAAGGCACATCATGGTCAAATTAGCAAGGTGGGACATATCCATTGAGGTAGATGGGTTTCTTTAGGTGTTAATTTGTATGGGCCCCCCTTTGTAGCATTTTCGAGGTCTCTCCTAGGATGGAGTGTCTATAGGGATGGTGCGTCTCAGATTTCTCGTCGAGTAAATGAAAACGTTGTTACCAAGGAGACAATCCCATATTCTTAAATAGTATTTTAAATCAGTATCAGTAGTTAATTAAATTCCAGTTGGGGATTACCATTAGATACATTTACTGTAGAGTTGGGTGAAGCTCTCTTGCAGAGGCACTGTACTAACTCAACTCTTTACAAGGGTAGTAGTGTGGATTTAAGAGGTTATCATCGGGATTAACAAGATTATTTTGACATCAGACATTTTAGTGATTTAACATATTTAACCTTAATGCAGACGCGGAGCAATTCACGATACAATCTCAACCAGCACAAGGGTGGTATATTGTTATTGTCACCAACTTATTTGTGGACGGTGTTCGACGTTTGGAGGTCGGCGTTCGGCGTCTGTAATAGATGGTAGGTTGTGACATTTCGCATATCAATGCCTTGTTCTATTTGTCATGTTCCTCAAAGTATTGACAGAAACAATGTGAACACATTTATAATTGCACGGAAATAGTAGAAAGGTTCATATTGAAGGTTGCCTTTGCAATGATGATTTTGCTAATATTTTAGGAAATACCAAAAATCGTGTGACGCACGTATATACCCTTAAATGCTTTCCAATGGTACCATTGATTTAAATAATCAATGGAGAATTTCAAATTTCCAAAAGGGGACCCAATTGCAACTAATTATAAAAAAAATATTTGCCTGCATTTTTAAACCGTGCAATGGTTCGTTTAACTAAAATTATTTTTTAAACGTTGATCCCATCTTGTTACACAAACTGATTGATCTTTAAGCCTCTCAGCTTTCCTATTTCATTTGCATTGAGGAATACAATATTAGAACCGTATGGTTGAATCTATTAGAGAATGGATTAAAGCAGCCTACTGAACATTCACATAGAAACCGGACTACATATCCAGGTGGACTTTATTTACGGGTTGTTCTGGAATCAAGATCAAGTGCATACAGCCAAAAACCAATTGGAATCTTAAAATCACGTAACTAAGTACTAGATAAATAGTCCAATGATGCAGATTCATTAGTGGAGATACTTTTGTATAAACAGTCTGACGTTAAGTCTCAGAAAGTACCATATGTATGTAGATGGTAAAATCACCTAATTGGGGATGTTGTGCGCCAGGCCGTTTTCACTACACGTGTTATTCATCTGGGTACCCCCAAGAAACTCACTCATCCGGGTATTGATAGAAATAGAATGATTTCCTAATTTGTTTCAGGGAGAACGATGTGAACAACTCACCTAGTTAATGTAAAGGCCATTGGTATAGTTGACAGCGAGTGAACCACACGGGAAATGGAGCTTCGCGTAATTTTGACGCGGCTACTCACAATCTGGGTGTCAATGGTTGCATGGATAACACCGATATATGGAGCAAAAAAGTAAGACTAGATACATTATATTATTTAGACTAATCCTATACTCATTGGTCATTAATTCAAAATTACTTCATTATTTTTCTTTTTTAATTGTAACTGCCATTAGCTTGTACTGTTAATGCAAAGTACGTCCACGACAATAGCACGGGTACTAAATTTAAAATATACCTCACACTTTAAATCTGAGCGAGGTGCGATATTTATTAAGTGGGTAAGGGTGGTGATGGCCCGATAGGAAATTCGAAATTACTTGAAGTACTTGCCAACTGCATTCAATAGTATGTTCTTAATAGTGTAATAAAGGATATATTATTTATAATCAAGATATAGGAAGAACTCATATGATTGTTTCATTGAAAGTATACAACTAAGATGAGATCAAATGAATCGGAGAAACATCGTTTTAATCTACCATACAGTAATAAAGCAAAATTGCTGCATGTTGAATTGTAGTATTGCCTGTCGTAAATAAAGCAAATTCCTCCTTTGCATCGTTAAATTATACTATTGCGTCTCGTTAATAAAATGAAATAATTGTTGACAGAACAATATAGATCGTTGATTAAATTACTTTTATTGTGCCCCGAAGCTGGTTGAGAAATTCCAGCAAGTATTTGCATTTAATTAATTAAAAGGAATCCAATATTTTCGAATTTATCGACTCCAATCCAGCCATTAGCGTTGCATTGTTGCCAGTACTCGAGTACTCTGAGAAGAATGATATTGACTAATTCTGGTTCTCATCGCATCTCTGATTATAAAGTTCTCTCATTGGGACGACGATTTTAGCCGACATGTGTGAATTCGCCACGTTAACATACGTGAGCTGACATATTTGGGTCCCCAATGGACATTTGTTCCACGGATCGTTATCAAAATTGACAAGTTTAATGGCCGCCTTTTTACACGTTCTCATATGATACATTCTGTCCAATACAATATCTTATTTTTGTTTTTGATAATTTGTTTTGAAGAAATATTGTGAACAAAATATACATTTCCTCAAAACTGTGACAATCTTGGTCACTTTGGCTGGCTAGCTTGTTTACCTTTGAAAATGAAAACGATTATTTGAGAAATCGTCAAACCAAACAGTTTTTATCCTTGACCAAATGTACTGCATTGTCGGATCCACAGCCAGTCCCATCCCTTGAAACAAGCTTTAGATTAAGAGAAACTCTGATAAGTCAGAATGAATGAACCGGGGAGTTTCCTAACTTTTTGAGGAGAGTGTATCAACCTGTACACTGCCAGGTTTAACGTTTGTCATTTAGTTTAATTTATGGTTATGTCAACCCACATCATGAAAGGGGGCATCCATCATGTGGCAATTTCGTAATGTTTTGTGAAAGAACACGATACGTTATCAGATTACCAATACAACGTGGCATACTTATCTAGCTGATATGTTCGAAGAGTTTTTTAGTATTCGTCATAGCATGGAAGTTCCAGAATCAGAACAAAAAATTGTTAGAAAGGTTTTAGTCTAGAATATTTGAGACGGGTTGGGGTATTCACATTTTGAACCTTTCATTCAGCCAAATTGCACATTGTACTCTTCTTACCAAAAGATAGTTTCATTTTCTCCTAAGATTAATATAGTGGTGTATTTTGAATTTAAATGATCTTTGTTAAATTGTATTTTTGCCTATTTTGTAGCGTATATTAAATTGCTTTTCGCTATTCCGATCCTTAGTGTTGAGGACTTAAAATAAGTCACAATCGATAACTCTTAATATCTAAAGAGGGGTATGCGAGGGAGCTAATTATCTCTTTCAGGAACAGTCAACTCTATCGTTGATTGAAAATTTGGATCGTTTTCATTTTTCTCCTAGGTCAGAAACTATTCTATCAGAATTGCTCAAAGATTACGACAAACGTCTCGCACCGAACTTTTCATCAGGTAATCAGCGTTCGCAATTTTGATGCATTGTATTCAATTAGTGGTCCAAACGACACAATATCTGCACTGATTGCTAATCAGTAATCACTCTATGTACGGATATTGTTATTTTGACCAAAGGGGGCTAAATGATTACAGATTATTGACAATGGTTATGATAAGTTACCCTACACTGCTAATTCCCAAATGGATGCCAATTGATAAAAGCGAAAACAAGTCTCTCCCTTAAAGTTTTCAGGAATGCCCCATGGGCGTTTATTCGAGAGTTACCTGATATTTAAATGAAGCTATTTTATAAGAATTATCTACTTGTGAATTAGTAATGATCATTTAGTTCCCAATCATTGTTTAAGTTCCCTAGGCAATGCCTACACTGCACCCAGGGTTGATGAACTGTTTGCGACGTACAGTAACGCGGTAAGAGTGGTACGTTGTGAATTTTGTTCATTGCCCGTGTATTTAAGTTTTAGTAATGCTTCATTCCTTTTTTGCCAGGGCTTCTTTCTTGAAGAAACTGTTCAGGAATTATGATAGTCGAATTCCACCTGCGTTTGGTTCAGGTAGCTGTATACGCATGTTTTCGGTGTTGTCTTAAGTCTAATACACTTCTAAACAATCTCGCTGTTGATGGGTCACCATGGCAAATTGTGTTTGAAAGAAAACAATCATTGCAAAAATGACATACGATATATTACGGTATATTACCACTGGACCCTATCGATCTATAGCATTGAAAATTCATAATTTTGGCCAGACCCTGGGAATTCGAAAAAGCATTATGATTGTTGTTTTCATCCGTACCTAGTAACACGTATGATACCTTTTGATATCGACCACTTTTATTTTGAATGTATTATTTTTTATTTGCTATTTTAAAGCACTGCATTTATCAAGAATTTGCTTAGTATTGCACAACATAGCTACATGTAGTGACCAGTTTCAATTTTTGTTATGCCATTACTACTTTAGTTTTGTAGGCACCAATGTGCATTTGGGTTGACAATTAATAGTTTGGATTTTTCATCCTGGAGTAGTTGGTAAAACAGGGCTTTTGGAACATTGTTAAAAATCATTTTGGGAGTAGCGGAATAGGGGGCGGGAAACACGCCCGAACCATAACAGTTCTTATGTAACAATTAGCTACTATTCGCGAATTCAACCACCGGCTGTCGGCTGACGATTTAATCCACCATTTTATTTTTTAAAACGGGCCATAAAAGTGGGTCATAAAATAGTGGATTAAATCGTCAGCCGGTAGTTGAATTCGCGAATGCTGCCATAAATACACAAAGAAGAACTCTCATTGTTAACTTTGTTGCTACCTTCAATCCCAGGATACTTCACCATTTCATTACATGTAATTATTATCATTTACACACAATACGTTGACTAGCACTCACTTAATATAATACGCACATTGTTATTGTTATACTTATAAGTATAATGCATTATCGAAAATCTTGACAGCTCTGATGTATTTGTTACTAAATTGATGTCAGATCATCATTTACATTATGTACACAGGGAAATTAAAACAGTGTGCTTATTTAGAGGATGTTTTGTTTGTTATACTTTTATTGAGTGATAATGCAATATCAGATATTCTCAAGTAGATAAATTATATTCTTCTTGAGCAAGTATATCCGGTCCTTCAGGTAGATATAATTTATCTCCAAGATGGTATAACTGATTATCCTCTTTAGAACTCTTCCTTATCTCTGTTTATTCTCTGTTAAATGGTAGATACGTATTTATCCAGAAGATCAGATGAAACACTTCTTTCTGAACTTGATTTTTACATGATTTATACTTAGCCTGGAATCTGCTTATGGGGGCCATGTTAGTGTAAAGATCAATGCAGGAAGCGGGTGTAGCTAATTAATCAAGCTAAAAAAGAGAATAGCGCTCACTTTATCTAAAGTATTTTTAGTTAGATTACACTCTCCCAAAATGTGTCATTTATGCAACCACAGGCTATATTACACTTTCCCAATTTCCCAAAAGATTCATTCACGTAATAATTAACTGCGTAGCATTCTATATTACAAGGATCTTCTTTTACGCGTATAAGAATAAATACGATGATTTGGTGACAGCATGCTTAGACGTGGATTGGGAAATTGTGACAATACTGCCTGTGGAAACGAACCTCCCTCCCTTCGCCCACTTATTTCAGGTGCAATCAAACTCGTAATATCCCTGACATTATGTTCCACTAAAACACCTTTTTCATCTTAAACTACTTGTACACCTTATCCATCTAATGCATTAGTGAACTAGTTTCTCAACAATAATGTTCACGTAATTGTTTTTATTCTCCTAGACTCCTCAGGTAATGGATCCAGTAAGTAGGCACCCTTATACAAACAATAATCATGATTGTCATTTAGACAAAAAAAAAATTATTCAACCTTTCGGATTCATTTTTGATCTTTTAAAAGATCGACTAGATTACATCACGGGGCGACTTTAAGAGCTCTGTACTCATAAAACCATTTATTGGGAACAAGTTGACCCTTTTATTCAGTCTAGAAAATAGCCATAAGAAAATATGGTTAGTTGTGAAATTGCCCATTTACATTATATACGGACACAGATTGATGATATCTTGAAGCTCTGGGGTTTATTGTATTGGATTTACTTGTATCAGACACAAATGACAATCATGATTTTTGTTATTATCCACCCTTTGCCATCCTCCAAATGCAGGATTTCAGACATCCATTACAGTCCTCTCTTATTTCAGAAGAAGGAAGAAATTTGCATTAGGAGGATGCACTTTACCCACTGCACCATCTACCACTGTCATCAACTGTATACACTTGCCCCGGTGATTTACATACTAAATTTAGTGTCACTAGCATATATTTGTACCATCCCTCACTTCTACACATGTTGCTGCTTTGTCATTTATATACGTCGTATTATATATCATCCTCAATTTACCGCACGCACATCGATCGGTTTTATGTCACAACCACAAGTGGTGACATATTGTTGTTGTCTCAAACTTTTTTTGAAAACGATGTTCACCGGCTGATGTCTGTGTTTGGCGTTCGGCGTCTGTAACAACGGGCAGGGGTGACATTTTGCATGCTAATGCATTCTGCAAACTTTGCAACAAATCTCATCATCGTACTTCAAAACCAAAATTTCTAGCAAGGGTGTCATATGCAAATACACTTTTCTAATATTAAATATCGTGGAATAAAGTATTTAGAAAGAGTATGAAAAATAGTACTTCGTATTACATAGCTGGATTCCAGTACATGATTTTCTAATATTATCTTAATACAATATTAGCACTGGTTCTGTTTGTACATATTGTTCGTTTGATGTTATTTCTGACGTTTTTCCTTCAGCGTTTTCTGACATTTACAAGTTACGTCATATGGTTAAATAGAACATACCTGCTGTCATAATATTCGCAAATGATTATGTTGTCTGACAGTATATGTATCTAAATTGCCAAGCACAACGAGTTACATAAATGTCATGTTATCTTTGAAATATTAAAAAGATTGCATAATGCTCATTCTAATTATGATAAATTTTCGCTATAGTGGTACTTTCATTAGCCAGATTTGACATATACGAGGGGTGTGCCTATTAGTCTTATCATATACAACCCCTATCTGGAATATCTTATATTAGGTAACTATACTGCAAACATACCTAACATACTTAATTTTCAAAGGTTATCCTCATTACTCCCACTGTAAATACAGAGAATCACAGGCTCAAGTAAAAAACGGGACAGTCAAAATACTTTTGGACTACATTTGAGTCAGTTCAGTTTGTTACTTTTGCATACTTATGTTGGGTAATATTAATGAATTTGCTTTTTTGAACGCGCCTGTGATGAGGAGATAAGCCATAATTCATAATTTTGAATCTTCCACATCTGTTTTCGATAAGTGATTCGTAGACCAATGAAAAACAAGACCATCTTGGAATTCTGGGGAGAGCCGCCCTATTATATCATACCCTAATTATACGAAAGAAAAACATAACAAGACACCATATCAGAATGTTGAGTCAATATTTTAAAGGAATGGGTTTTCTATATTGAAGTTGAACTGTTGATATCACTCCTATTTCTGAGAGAGCTGTATTCCTAAATAATTACATCATCATCTAGTGCCAATGGCTTTTTGATTCATATTAAACAATATATTCAAACATTTCTAATTTGATGCTTCATGTTTCATTATAAAACAGTATACATTATTCATTTAAGCAGCCAAATGCACAAATTGACAAAATGGATATATACGCTCTAGTCCTTCCTTTCTCCCTCCCTCCCAGAGTGGATGATGTCTGGAGTCCTTTGTTCGGAGGATGTACCCTCATACTTAGTTTAGAAGCCAGAACCTACCGAATAACATTATAACCCCAGCAACCTCTTACCAAGGAGCTTATTTTCTTGTGCCCCAAGAATGTTGGAATATAATTTCCAAATGTAGATTGAAATACATCAATATCAAGTGTAAGGTTATGAATGCAAGTATATCGACTGTGAATCACAAACTTTTTGTAAGTTGCATTAATCAAATTATCGATGCTGCAAATTTGTCATCGATGTCAGTGTCAGTGCCTGTTTTTTTATCACACAATAAAGAATATGCCACTTTGTTAATGATAAAGGTTCATACATACTGGTATAATGCAGTGTCACGTTTATTTAATTTCCATGAGCGTGTTTTAGTGTAATTCATTGTCACTTTTATTCAATTCTCATGAGCGTGTTTTAGGTTTCAGTAGTGTAGTTCATTGTCACTTTTACTAAATTTTAATTTGGCATGTTTTAGGTTTTACGTAATGTAATTTGTTGCCAGTTTTATTCAATTTTCATTAGCATGTAATTCGTTGTCACTTTTATTCAATTTCCATAAGCGTATTTTAGGCTTCTGTAATGTAGTGTATTGCCAGTTTTATTCAATTTAATTTTCAATAGCGTGTTTTAGCTTTCAACTGTGGAGTTCAATGTCACTTTTATTCAATTCTCATGAGCGTGTTTTAGGTTTCAGTAGTGTAATTCATTGTCAGTTTTATTCAATTTATATCAGCGTGTTTTAGATCTCAATTGTGTAGTTCATTGTCACTTTTATTCAATTTTCATGAGCGTATTATACGTTTCAGTAGTGTAATTCATTGTCACTTTTATTTGATTTTCTTCAGCGTGTTTTGAGTTTCAGTAGTGTAATTCAATGTCACTTTTATTCAAGTGTTTTAGGTTTCAAAAGTGTATAATTCATTGTCACTTTAATTCAATTTCTCAGCGTTTTTTAGATTTAAAAGTGTAATTCATTGTCAACATTACTCAGTTGATTCATGGGCTTGTATAACATCTACAAATATACCCAAAATGTAACCATGCATGAAAATATGTAGTGCATTAGCATGTCTAGTAGACGTTTATCTATCAACAGAAGAAAATATGCAACTCCACATTTATAGACAGTGATTATAACAGTGATTTAATTATATTTACTTCGAAGTTTGCTGATGGTTTTTAACACTGAATGCAAACAGCACGCTTAATGAAGAAAAAGAGAGTTGAATGGCTTTATCACCGACCATACTGTGCTATTTCCATTCAAGCAGTTCATAAATTTACTTATTACTTATATTTGAATCAATCAGTTAGATAGCATCACTGAAAAGTACTAGTGAAATGATATTTGTCATTTTTCCTGTTATTAGAGAGCAGTCAACGTTTTTGAATCTGACAATTTTACATTATCTTTTTTGCTGACTAAATATCTAAATATTGTTTGTCTAATAAGAGTTCCTGCTTTAGAAATATCTAACTTATAAAGACTAATCATACATAACTGAAATTTCATTTACTGGTCTATTTTATTAGTCTTCTTGTTCGAGTATATTTAAAATGACATATCCCATAAATGAAGAAAATGAATAAAAGAAAACAAAAAGATAATTACTCTTGCTATTATAATGTAACTACATGTTGAATGTTTAAACTCGATTTTTTTTTTAATTTAGGAGGAGGTACAATGAATGCAGTGGAGCTTATGATCTTGAGCTTTGACTCCATCAATGAGAGCACCATGGTAACGAGTTCATTGTAATTGTAGTGATGTGTTCCCCTTTACTCCTGCAAACTACTCAATAATCCATTTACTGGACAACCCAATACACTATGAATATTTGAGCTAAAACACGTCCAGTATATTGCTTTTTCTATAAATGCTTTACATATTCTACTTCAATCTTCCAAATGGCGTCCGAGTCACCAATTAATTTTAATCAAATTCAATTCAATTAAGGACTACATTGTGACGATGTTTCTCCGCCAGACCTGGAACGATAAGAGACTTGCCTTGAATGGTATCGTCAACGAGAGTTCAATCGCCCTGGATTCCCGGATGATAGACAATATATGGGTGCCAGATCTTTACTTCTACAATGAGAAGAAGTCACACTTCCATGATATCACTGTGCCTAATAAATTGTTGAGAATCTATCAAAATGGAGATATTCTCTACAGCTCAAGGTTGGTGAGAAATAGGACCCCTAAACTTGAGATTGAAGGCCATCGAATACAGTAGTAAAATAATTTAAATTAGTTTCTTGTACAACATCCAACGGTTCATTCGTCCATCGTTTTCATCTTTAGTAAATTTGAGAGTATATGTCTAAATTTTAGATAATTGTCATTTATGTACACATAGTACACTACTATCACTACAAGAAGCTCCTTGGGAGTCTTAACAATTCTCACCATTACGACACAAAGTGCTGAAGAAAGGCACACTAGTACACTTTTAAACATCCGCTAAAGGGCGACAGAAATAATTTCTAAGTAAAGAGGGCACGCCAATCATAAGATTCTACCAATGCTGACATCTTTACATCATCCCAAAACCAATGATTATAAATATGATTTATTTCATTTCTGCCTATGATTATACATGGTATTCTCATATATACTCATCACGTCTTTCTGCCTTCAACTAGAAATATACCTCAAGAAAGAAGCTAATAGAATGTCATGATTCCCCATGATGAATGATACATGGTGTCTAGAAAGCTATCAGTATCAAGTGTTCTCATGACAGGAATAATGAAAACAAGAGAGTAGAATTCCGTTTACCTGTATGAACTTATTAATGTAACGAGAGAATGTTAAAAATGGGGAACATTTTTTAGATTAAGCCATTCGTTAATTTTCAGTGTCACGGTGTTTGGTCTAGATATTTGTGCTGCTTTCGAACTTCATTATATAACTTTGTTAATCATTTTCAGAATAACGTTAACGTTATCATGTCCAATGAAGCTCCACAAGTTCCCACTAGACACACAGATCTGCAGTATGATAATCGAAAGTTGTGAGTACTATATAGAGACGAGCTTATAAGATTCTATGGAAAACACAACTATTCTATGGACAACTAGGTTCTGATTTGTATTAGTTGGTAAATGGATTCAGAATTGCATAGTTTGGAATTAAAACTGATATTCATATACATTTTTGCATTTATTAAATGTGAATAAGATAAGATTTTCCGTTCTAGATGCCTACACTGCAGACAAACTAATGTTCAAATGGGCTGACAAAGATCCAATAAAATTTAAAAAAGGCTTGGAATTACCACAGTTTAGTCTGAAAGGAAACAGCACCAAAAGCTGTACAACCACTCTATCAACAGGTGAACAATTACTTTCACATAGGTTTATAAGAAATATGCACCCTTTGTGGATTATTAACAAACAATATAAAAAGCCGCAAATGTGTGAAGTTTACTGATCAGAGAGCCTGCTACTATGCTAAATATGATATAAAAGTTATGTCTCTTTTTATAATAAAAACATAAATGTATATGTTCAAGGTACATTCACCTGTTTACAAGCCAACTTCATACTTGAGAGAGCCATTGGATTCTATATCATCCAGACCTATGTGCCGAGCATTCTGGTTGTTATTCTCTCTTGGGTCTCCTTTTGGATCAGCGTTGACGCTGTTCCTGCTAGAATCTCATTGGGCGTTCTAACAATTCTCACCATGACGACACAAAGTGCCGGAGCGAGACAGACGCTACCCAAAGTATCCTATGTCAAGGCTATTGATATATGGATGTCCACGTGTCTGTTGTTTGTATTCGGAGGGTTGATTGAGTTTGCTGTGGTAAATGTACTGAGTCGGAAGGAGGTAAGAGCGAGGATGAGCATCCGGAGAAAACCAGAGGAACTTAATAAAAATGAATATGAGGTATGTTCTTGGGGGATCAAAATTTTGGTCGCTTAACACGGCTTCATTATGATTTATGCTAGAACTAATCGAGGTGGTAGGGATATGGGCTTATTATGTTATTAGTTAAGCATATGAGTATACAGCATTTGGTGGAGTTTCTTCTGTCCATCTCCTCTTACTGTTTTCCACGGCATTTATGAGTTGATAACAAAGTTGACTCGTACATAAGGCACAATTTACAGATGGAATTCGTTTTCCAAGGAACCTACTCAATTCCTTGTAGAATAATGTAATAAAAAGCAATACAATTTCTCATCACATTTACTGATTTAGCGATTTCGGCAAAATGAATTCCATCAACATAGGGTGAGAAATCAAATCAACGGCACTTTTAATCAATTTCAACACATTATAATATTTTTTATATTTTTTTTTATTGATTTTGGAAAATGTGTAATGTTATAGAAGCAATTGTGAATTACAAACAAATATCCCGAATGGAACTGTAGGAGAGAGGACCTTAAAATAGGCTTAGGTTATCATCATTTAATTTCCTCTTTTTTCCTCTAGATTTAAGTATGGATATCTATCAATTGGTTTAGATCACCATCGTTCTATGCACATGTTCGGGTAACATAAAATATACATTCACACAAAAGCTCTATTTGAAGAGTATGTGCACGAGGTTATTATGACCCTTTGCTTATATCCATATTAAATATTTTCTTTTAACAGTAGAATAGATACTTTTATAGGTACCATAAAACAAGCTCATGTGCATTTACATATATAGTCAGAAATATCATTTTTATGATTTATTTATAATTTTAAAGTATTTAATTTGATTCTTTATTTGTTATGGCATATTTTGGATGTTTTATTTGACTGTATTGTATACTTGTTACTTTTGTTTGCTTCGTATCTCTTATGCAAATTATAATAAATAAGCAATTAACAATATACATTTAGTTGACAAATAATTAATTGAAGTTGTTTCTTCTTTTGAGTTTTTACGAGACGAGGGGCGGGGGCGTCTTACATTTTATCCTCGATCAGAATATGTTTTTGAAAATTCCAGCTATTTCATCAGACCAGTCTCGAAATATTCTGGATTAGCCCCCCATCCCAGATGTTATGCTTGCCTCCTTTATTTCTGTTTCTGGATCCCCAATTTTGCTACTACTTGATTGAGATTTGTGTCAACAGGATGTAAGACGTCATTTTAGGCTATATTTATAGTTCCCAAAGTAGTATTTCTATGTATGTGTATGTCTAAGATTTCAAGCGATTTAATCTTTCAAATATGTTTTGCTTTCAGATGGTAGAAAATGGTAGTAGCAAGAAGGCTCCGACATACATCAGAGACCCCGATGGCAAGGAAAAGGCCCGTTTCGTGGACAAAATATCACGTGTAGGGTTCCCATTGGTGTTTGTTATATTCAATGGGGTATATTGGATATTTTATTCATTATGGGAAATAAATGAAGAATAGGCTGGATGGCTCAAATGGCAGTAGATTTTGTTGTAGTTAATACAACAGTCAAATAGTTTTGCATTCTAAACGTTTAGACATGTGATGTGCTCTTATTTGTTACATTGATAAAATATCCAATGAACCCAACATGACACCATGGGTTGGAGACGATGCATCAGTAGAATCTACAATGTGTCTCTCATTCGATTTCGATTGACACTTAAACTGGGAGTGGGGTCTTGGCAGATGTAAATGCAAATACACTGCGTGTTTTGAATTACGATAAGTTCGAAGCGTACTGTCCGCAGTGACACCATCTTGATTCTCAAGGTATTAGTTGCTCCAACTTGTTATAACCACTTGGAATTCGAAGATGCAGTGACATAATGTTTTACCATACGAATTCATTCCTTAAACTGTTGTTATGTTCGAACAATCATGTTCTGATAATCAAAACCGTCTTCCACCTCTCTTATCGAGGCTTTGTTGATATTAAATGACAAGGGGAGTACGAAACAAATTTTATTGTTTAATTGTAAAGAATCCCCAGTTACAGGGTGTCTCGTATGTTTGCAGTCATGGAATACAAGATACTTCTTCATATGAAATGAGTATAAGACTGAATTTTCGCTTCGCCTAGAATTTTGCCATACTTATGGCTTACGTTCATATACAATAAAATTGAACATTATATTTGATAAGACATTGGAAGACAGGGGCTAATAAAAAACCCTGACACCAAATACATTGAATTTGTGAACGAGGCGCGTTTGGGATATTACGTTCTCCCTTGCACTGTATAGTGGAAAACAAGGTAGTGACACCTCATTCTGATTTTGCTCGCTTTCTGTTCTGTACCATTAATGAACTAGTCCCCAAAGGTGTATAATTCTACACGTTCACATACAAATCACATACAAATTTTCTTAAAACGTGTAGCTGCACCTCAATAGTGTTGCAAAAGATGACTCAATGGCTTTGATTTAAACATTGAGACTTGTAAATAGCCTCACACGATTTGATATTGCTCACGTGTAGATTACATTTGTATTCTGTAAATATTTGAATATGTAAATAAATGTAAAAATTATTTGAAACAGGTTTTGAGTTTCTTTAATGCTACACTTGTCGCCACCCATTAGTTCTTAAAGGGGCAATAAAGACTATAGAGGAGTAAATAGTCATAATTTTACAAACTTGTGCTCTCACCGATCAGTGTCAAGCTTATTTTCGAAAGGGTCCAACAAAAGAGTCTTTTGATTGATATGGGCATCTGCTTAAAAATAAATATTTTGACCTCATTTGAATTTCGATTAAAATATTGGTTTGCTAATTGAAACAATAGAAACATTGTTCTGTAAATATTTGAAGATGTAAATAAATGTAAAAATTATTTGAAACGGGTCTTCGAAAGGATCCAACAAAAGAGTCTTTTGATTGCTATGAGGTCATCAGCCAAAAAATGGATATTTTGACCACATTTGAATTTCGATGAAAACATTGGTTTGCTAATTGAAATAATTGCCTCCAATATTTTACTCTAGTCTGAGGCCACTTCGAGTATACGAGACCAGGTGAAGATATTCCCCTCCAAAAGTGAGACCAGGTGGTGACATTCCCCTCCAAAAGTGAGACCAGGTGAAGATATTCCCCTCCAAAAGTGAGACCAGGTGGAGATATTCCCCTCCAAAAGTGAGACCAGGTGAAGATATTCCCCTCCAAAAGTGAGACCAGGTGAAGATATTCCCCTCCAAAAGTGAGATCAGGTGAAGATATTCCCCTCCAAAAGTGAGATCAGGTGAAGATATTCCCCTCCAAAAGTGAGACCAGGTGAAGATATTCCCCTCCAAAAGTGAGACCAGGTGAAGATATTCCCCTCCAAAAGTGAGACCAGGTGAAGATATTCCCCTCCAAAAGTGAGACCAGGTGGTGACATTCTCATCCATAAGTGAGACCATGTGGAGACATTCTCCAGCATAAGTGAGACCAGGTGGAGACATTCTCCTCTATAAGAGAGACCAGGTGGAGACATTCTCCTCTATAAGAGAGACCAGGTGGAGACATTCTTCTCCATAAGTGAGACCAGGTGGAGACATTCTCCTCCATAAGTGAGACCAGGTGGAGACATTCTCCTCCATAAGTGAGACCAGGTGGAGACATTCTCCTCCATAAGTGAGACCAGGTGGAGACATTCTCCTCCATAAGTGAGACCAGGTGGATACATTCTCCTCCAAAGGCAAATTAAAGCATTCGATACAACGTCGGGCCTCGCCATCATTCCGAAACCTGTAAGGCTACTCTAAACCAAAAACCCTGATTCCAATACACCAAAACCAAAATTCCGAAAAAAGGAGAAATAAGACTTCTTGAGAATGAACGTTTTTTTTCAACGCAGTTTTAATTGAAGCTAACACGGGAGATATATCCGGCACGTGAAATGAGGAACGTTTTTATTTTATGTAGGAATAAAGAATGTTTTTTCTTTATAACAGTGTGTTTACAATTGCGCGGTGTAACACATTTCGTAAATATAAATCAGTTTTTTCAAAAGGTGAGACTCCAAACGATAGAATGCATTCAAATAGCAGATCAAGATGACTTACAAGTAAATAGAAAAGAGCCACTGCTTAAAAATAAGAGAGGACATAAAGTTAGATTTTGAGAAACAATAGGGAACGATATATAGTAAATAAAAAGGTATCCTCCCTACTAAACGCAGAGATTTTGACTGTTAAAGAACGCAACCGTTTCGACCAGAGTGGGTATCGACAGGTAATTATTGCATCATTATAATTTACATACATATCCAAGGTACCTTTGTATTATTAGAGAGGTTAAGCTTGCAATGTTTTTCACAACGTAAACGTGAACGGAAAGATTTAACCGGATACTTATATGAAGTAAACATATAGGAATATGCAGCGCATCTATATCCGTTCAGCTTCAGTAAGTGTTTTTTAAGAAATTTGAAAGTTCACTTTATTTTTGTCAACGTTATCATCATACTTATGTCTATTGAGTACCATGCTGGCAATAGAATTTTGATTTCGATGCACAGTAGATTTTTTTCTAGAGAAGGTGATGTATGTCATAAGTGTTTAAATTCTAAATACATCATTTCAAACAAACTGTCAGAAAACAAGCTACAGAACTGCCAAAGATGGTGTAGTCCAAATACATTTCTTTGAATAAGTCTCATACAAGGGTACTTATGGATATAGGATTTCTGCTCAAGAAGGAATTTCAATATGGCTGCTCAATTCAAAATGGCCGCCATTTTTTATAAAATGTAATTCGTGATATCTTAGATAGAGAATACCACCTTAGATGTTATATCTTGGTTTGTCAGTACTAAAATCAAAGTATTAAGGTTTTTGAAGAATTAATGAAAATATGACCCTAAGAGACCCAAGACGAGGCACTGTCCTTGAGATGGAAATGTTAACAACAAAATTTATCCTATCGGTATATAAAATTGTGTTTAAAGATTTATCATAACTAGGCTGCATATGACATTCCCTCAGTCCTACTAGACTATTCATCTATTACTGTCGCCATGATTGCAACCTTATCTTGTTTGTGACCATAGTACTCGTATTATCATTCGATTTTTGGAGTGAGTTTCGGAGTGATGGGTTTCAGAGAAATGAATTTTGGAGTGATGAGTTTCGAAGTGATGAATTTCGGAATGATTCGTTTCGAAGTAATGAATTTCCGAGTGATGGGTTTTGGAGTAATGCATTTCGGAGGTATAGGTTTCGGAATGAATTTCGGAGTGATGGGTTTCAGAGTAATGGATTTCGGAGTAATGAATTTCCGAGTGATGGGTTTCGGATTAATAAATTTCTGAGTGATGGGTTTCGGAGTGATGGGTTTCGGAATCATGAACTTCGGAGTGATTCGTTTCGAAGTAATGAATTTCCGAGTGATGGGTTTTGGAGTAATGCATTTCGGAGTGATAGGTTTCGGAATGAATTTTGGAGTGATGGTTTTCAGAGTAATGGATTTCGGAGTAATGAATTTCCGAGTGATGGGTTTCGGAGTAATGAATTTCGGACTGATGGGTTTCGGAGTGATGGGTTTCGGAATGATGAATTTCGGAGTGATGGGTTTCGGAGTATTGGATGAGCCCCGATTTGAATCAATATTACGTCGAACGATGGCCTAAATTCTGTGTACAGCGTAAATTGTATTGTGTTATTTGTTTTTAAGTGTAACAACCTCGGCTCTGCAGAATTCAGACATGGAAGAAACTGCATCTGAACCCCATCAACCCGATGAACATAATCAGATGATGTGCCTGACCCACCTTCCACATGTGTGCTTGGTGCAGATATTGTCGTATCTGGACCTTCCCGATAGACTGAATGCTGCATGTACATCAAGCATATTGCATGACATGTTCAGTCATCCATCACTTTGGCATAAAGTTGGGATTCTAATCTGTGGAAATTCCGATTATAATAGTAGTAGCTGTACAACCCTTGCATTAAGAAATAAAGCAATGATCGAAAAGTTTGGAGAATTCTTCAGAGATTTAAGACTGGTGTATCACGGCGAAGTCAATCATCTCTATCCAATTGTGAAAGATGTGATGAATGCCATCTCAAAATTATGTAGACTAGAATCACTTACTTTGGACCTCAATGCACAACTAACTGAACATGAAATGTTTACAGCTCATAGAAATTGGAGACGAGGGAGAATGCAAATTGCACGTGCAAAATTGTATGAGCCAGTAAGCAATTTGATAAGTACATGTAAGCTACCACACTTGCGTTCTTTTGCATTGAAATTAAGGCCTCGTCGCCCAGATCGTGATGTTACCTTTAAGGTTCAGATATTTAACTTATTGAGGTCCCTCTCCAGCAATACTCAGATTCAGAATTTAGAAAAGTTGGATTTATTCTTGGTGGATCCAAATTCGAAGAGCATATCATGGAAGACCAATAATTCCATTATCGCAACCACACCTAACGACATGGAAACACTTTTCAAGGGATATCTGAAGCACCTGAAACATCTGTGCCTTCGTGCTAGCATGTTAAATGAGAGTGTTCTTCTATCATTGACTGAAATTAGGAGGGCTCCTTTGAAAACTCTCAAAATTATGGTGGTCCATTCAGAGTATTATTGTGTTGAAATTCCAAATATTTCCTCAGGTGTTTGGAAGAAACTTGCAGCGTTTTCTCCAGAATTGAAGGTGGAGGTTTCCATAGCAACAAGAGTACCATATTTGAAGCTCGCAGGCTTACTGAAGCCTGAGATACCATTAGTTGCCCTAAGTTACTTCAGGTTTGCCCATTACGATGGCCAGGATTTAGCATCGATAACTGAAAAATATCCTAGTACTTTGAAAGCATTCACAAGCCTTTGTCAAGGTGATAAAATTGATACCGAGCTTGTTGCCATGGTAACCATGTGCCCTAACTTACAATATTTCTGCTATCATGGAAAATTGAATTACCGCACTGCCATCGCTATTGCTAGTCTCAAAGGGGAAAATTGGAAACATTTTGAACTGGTTAAAACACAGATCGGTTTATCAGAACAAAATCAACATAAGCATAATGAAATTATCTCAATAGAATATCTGGTCAGGGGGGTGTCGACCGCTTTAAAACGCACGTGGAGGCCCATTGAGACTCTTCCTGATGTTGATGAGGGAAGTACGTGCTTTCCTTGGGGGGAGTTTTCAAAATATTTGCATTGGAAAAAAATCCAATGAGTCAATAACAACAGTGACGAAATTTTGGGCCCCAAAAATCCAAAAGTGGGCCCAAAATTTGAAATTTTGAGGCCCATTTTCTTCAAAATTTGGCCTGAAATTAAAAAATAAGGCCTTAAAAGGCCCAATTATGACCAAACAGGCCCACTTTTTGGGGCCTTAAGGCCTTTTTTGGCCCACCCAATTTTTTTTTCTGGACCCACCCAAGGGGGGGGGGCGGGCCCCCAGCCCCCCCCCCCCCCCCCCCTAATCCGCCAGTGGTGTAATACCGATTGGTTTCTGTGTAATACCGATTGGTTTCTAAAACGTTTTAGCGGATTCTGTGGTGTAAATCCAGCAACTGTGATTTATATGGTCAATATTTTGATGTTCTCTTGAAACATAACTAATAATACTTCAGATTGATCGACTCCCACTTATGAATTTGAATATTTTTGCTTTTCTCCAAATTGAAAGTGCTTTCTTTGAAATACCGTCGCTAACAATGGACATCTATCCCTCCCATGAACGTAATTATTTTTGTTTGCGGGTAACCATTAATTTATTGACCTACAGAGCTATAATGTTAGGATTATAAACAAAGCTATAATGGCAGATTTTAGTTTGTAGTTTGGCAAGCATGGCTGAAGAAACTCTTAATTCAACGTTGTATTTGCAAATTAAAATTTATCAAAACTTTGCATCATTCAGTGAAGTTATATCGGCATTTTCAGTAACATTTTTATCATATCAATAGGAGTTTTGCTCTGGTAAGACTCTAGAAGGTAACGTTCTTATCAAATTCCTTACTGTCTCAAACAACTTTTCTCGTGGTTTTGAGGGATCTTGGTACCTCGATATATTTCGAGGGGGAAGGTAATTTCAGTTTAAGCTGCTGGATGTTACCGTAGTGCTGAAATTGTTCATGTCATATGTACATTTATAAAGAGGTTTAATGATTTAAACGTAGTTTATTTTGGAAATGATGGATTTTTTATGAGATGTGATATAGTAGTCTAAATTAAAAGTGAGTTCAATTAGATCAGCCCCGTTATATGGGAAAACAATATCTTCAAAACTCTAATTCTGTAAATAGTCATTTGTAAATATATATCATCTTGTGAATTATATTCATTATATATTAGGATTATATCATTATTAAACTTTAATAAACCTAATTGATCTATCTTTTATGTCGTTTTGTGCAGAGTAGTTAAATTAATCGATAACCCCCTCCCGCACCCCTGCCACACCAAACATAGTTCTCAACTGTTCTTTCCAGTCCTACAATAAAGTCGCAAAATATGTAAAACGGGCTAAAGGCTACGAAGCTTTAAAAGGGACATTTTTTCATTTCTATTTTTGAAAATCATAATTAACTTTTAAAAACTCACAAAATACTTATTGAAAATTTAAAAACTTTAATAAAAATAAAAATAGTTTTTTAAAATCATAATTAACTTATAAAAACTCACATAATACTTATTGAAAATTTAAAAACTTAAATAAAAATGTAAATAGTTTTTTAAAATCATAAATAACTTTTGAAAACTCGCAAAACACTTATTTAAAATTCAAAAACTTTAATAAAAATTGAAGTAACTTTTGTAATTTGAAAATTTAATTTTTTAATTTCAAAATATATATAAAAAAATTAAATAAATTGATTTAAAAATCAATTTAAAGATTTAAAAACACTTTTAGAAAATCCTTAAAACTTTAGACTCTATTTTAGGATTTCAAAAATCAAATATGTAAATGTAAAATGATTTATAGAAATTATAATAATTTTTTAGAAATATTTTTGCAATTTTTTTTTGCAAAACTGATTTTGGAAATTCATAAGTCAGTTCAGATTTTTAGATAAGTCTGAAATTTTTTAAAAGTCTTCTGTAAAGGAAAACTTTATGTGGCGTGTCACGGTTGAAATTAACGGAAGTGAAGGAAGCGGGGATTGTCAAGCAGAAAAGTGAGTATATGTAGGCCTAGTTGTCTATACTAGTGGACTATCTTTTATATATTTTACCTTTGTAAGGCAATCTGTTTGTTCAAAATAACGTAGATGTTGCACTTTACAGATAAACCATTCAAAAGCCAGACATGACGTGAACCACGTGTGCATCACCCCCCCTCAGACCGGCCTGGACAAAAATTCATTCAAAATCATGCAGTTTTTCAACAATTTAGAACTCAGTTCAAGTGATTTTTGGCCAAAGTTGATCACCCTGATTTTTTTTAATGGGATGGTTAGCTAGAGCAGGGGTTTCACTGACTGAATACTAGACACAGGGCCAGGGCTCCTAGCCTGGGGTGTTCACTGTATATAAACCTTGACGGGGGGGATCCTCGGCTCATGTGGGGTCCCTTTTTTGACATTTGGTATGGCAATGGACCCAATTTTTAGGATCTGGAATGAGAATGCCCCCTAAATTATGATTTGAGGTATGGCAATGGTCAGATTTTTCCACTCCTGGTATGAGAATGGTCATGGAAAATATTACTTCCTGCGAAAGCTATTTGGATTTTGATATAATAGCTTTCCCACGGAGCATTTGGACAGCTCAATGATCGTGACCTTTGAAACTGAATTAAGTCGATCCGCGGCTTACTTTTGGTCTCTAACTGTGTCTTACATCAGTATCATCAATCCGTGTAAGTATTGGAGCGCTGGAGTACTTCTTTTTCGATCAAGACTTGTAATTGTTAGTCGAGGAAATCGTTTTACTGCCAAATTCCAATATGGCGGTTTCTGCTCGGACATTTTCGTAAATCTCCGGAGGTTGTCCGAACCTAACTAATTCTCAAAATTCATTTCGTTCGTTGCGTATCTCGCACCTAGCAAACCGCCATATTGGAAATAGGTCTGTAAAACTTTAACTCGATGAACAATTTACAAGTCTTGATCGAAAAAGAAGTACTCCAGCGCTCCAATACTTACACGGATTGATGATACTGATGTAAGACACAGTTAGAGACCAAAAGTAAGCCGCGGATCGACTTAATTCAGTTTCAAAGGTCACTATTGATCAGCTGTTCACTTCTCCGTTTGAGAGCCATAAGTTTCAAAATCTAACATGGCTCTCGAAGTGAGTAAGGAAAATACATTGCCTCTCACTTGTGTATGGCATTGGTCTAGTAGTTACACATATCCTTAATTATCCCAACGAACGAAGTTCTGTAGGGATATAGTGAAGCCCTCCGTCTGTCAGTCCGTCCGTCCGTCCGTCCGGAAGATAACTCAAATACCAGTTGACGGATTTTCTTCATATTTGGTGGAACGATGTATATTGGTGAATAGTTTTACCCAAAAAAAAATTTTCCATGATGGCCGCCGCTTTAAAAATGACTAGACTTTTTCGTAAAAATCATGAATTTTTCATTCGAAACCAAAGTAATAAATATTTTTGTTTGAAATTTTGGTAGTATATTCACAACATCTATTTATTTCACATATATTCCTTGTTTTTCATGCTGACCCCCTGGGGCCGTGTATGGGGGGTCAGGAAAACAGAAATATTCGTTAATTTTGAGGTATTTCTGAAGTATAGCTTTATTATACTCAAATGAAAGGCAATTTAGAGTTGATTGTATCTTTTTTCAGATTCAGACCTCGTGAAATTCAAAATGGCCGCCTAATGTTGGATTTCGCAATAATTTTGCGATCCCTTCAAAGTATGCCTATATTATACTCAAATTGAAGGAATTTTAGAGTAGATCACAATTATGGTATTATTTTTCAGATTTGTACCTCAGAAAATTCAAAATGGCTGCCTTTCAGGAATTCGCAATCATAAAATCTAAATTTTTCAATTCTATGACTGATTGGAATTAATTTGGTAATTGATATATTGTTCGTTGGGATTTGCTACTTCGCGGAGTTGCAGTTTTCTAGTTTGAGGTTGTTTTGGATCGTTTTCCTCAAAGATCTGCCTTCTTCTCGGGGCTTTAGACATTTTAAATGGCCTTAGTCTTACATCTGGACATGTGGTATGGCAATGGTCTTATATTTGGACATTTGGTGTGCTTTGGGGCATTATTTTTGTCAGTATGGGAACACATTGAAATTTAACAGATTGGTATGGGAACATATTGATCATATTTGAGGGTTCAGCCTAGGAACCCGCTGAATTTTGTATACAGTGAACCTCCCGGGCCTAGGGCACTCCCCCCAGTTTTCCGTGAGTTAAAATACTGAATTCTGCAAGTGAAATTAGTGAATTCTGCAAAGAAAAAAGCCAATTCTGCTGGAATTCTGCGGGGTTCCTCTGAGTTTTTTTTGTGAAAAATAAGACATGGATAATAGGCTAAGAGTTAATGACCCGCTATCAAACATGTGAGAAATGAAAGTACCAGATCTTCGAAAAAAAAAAAAAAAAAAAAAAAAAAAAAAAAAGATCTTCGATCGTTTTCATTGCAAATTCAGTTTAAAATCAACACGTAATCGCGTGGCGTTATATGTGGCACGATCACAGGAATTGTAAATCTTATCCAAATATGACATTGGGTCTGAAAAAAGAATGTCTGATTGAATATTTTCCAAAATATTTTGTCTTGCGTTGCCTTTGCCTATAGACACATTTCACCATGCAGCATATCAGTGCACCAGTAGGTGTTACCCCAGGACCGGGTGAATATCATACTGGTGACCTATACACAACAAATGCGTTATTGTTGATTATTTCATGCACTGCTGTCATGTAAAAATACTCTGTTCGGATTGGCTGGAATCTGACACACTTTGCCTAGCTATGTGTGAATTGATGATTAAGTGAGTTGAATGAATTGATATAATTTACCGGTGATTAGGCAAAATTTACATTTGCCATGTAAAGTATAATTGACTGGCTATGATGACAATGTACCATATATTTTGAAATGACCAATGACATTTATACTTTAATTTATGGTACTAATACATGCTTGGAAGGATGTACCATTCTCGGTAGTTTAGAAAATACATCACTAATAAAATGCATTTTGGGGTTCCTGAAGGGTAAATACAACATATACAATTTTAAATTACCAATTTTTATTCACATTTTCTAAA